AATTCATATACAACACAACATTGTATGCGACAGAATTTTCCCGTCAAAAATGATTACCCAGAGCTACGGAATATTGACATTGGATTACTGCGGGGGAAAAAAACTAATTAATTATCTAAATTTGCCAATAACAAAGAGCTTAACAATTGTCCTAGAGTTATATGCCTCAACTACATTTTCAGGAGAGGGTTTTTAAAATCTATTATGTCATTCTGTCAGTAGAAAGCATCACCAGCCTGGAATAGGACTGGTAATCCTCCTGACCTATATGGGTTAGGATAATTTCAGAGTGAGGATCAACGGAAGCAAATATATTGTTACAGTGATGATATAAAATTTGAAGACAGTTTTGCTGTGACATATTCATCTTAAAAGATAGTTAATAATAATCTTCTTTGTTAGGTCATCGAGCTCAATATGAAAAATAATCTGTCTCTTTTTTTCACCTGCTTTCAGCTATATGCAATTTGACAGAAGCCACGCGAGGGACACAGCAAACATGTGCAAGAAGTATTTAATCAAATGAGACCAAAACTTAAGTGTTTTGGTCTCCATGTGAGGTGGAAAACCTTGCACATCTCCTGAACACTCCATTCAAGATGGAGGCAACATCATGGTGTGAGGATGATTTTCTTCCAGGACAAAAATGGAAGCTGATCAGACCAACTCTTCTGAGCTCTTTGAGTCTTCTGACTTAAGACTGAGGCCATTGATCGTTCTGCAGGACAGAAGCCCTAAATGTACAATCAGATCAACAATTGAATGATGTAGATATGAGGTGCCCAAGTCCTGTTGTGTTTGTCTACCATCCTGCAACTTGTAGATTCTTCTCTTCTCCAAAACACCTGAATCAATATGACTGAATTCCCTCACCAGAGCCATACAGACCCATTAGTTTAAGGTGGGTTTGACAAGATGAATCAAAAACACTTGACAGATCCAGACAGACTTGGACACTTCTGATGTAGATCAATGCATGTTCATGTGTGAGAACATCCTAGGATATATATTGGTTACGTATAATCTCAGGGCTTAGGTTTTATGTTCTCAGGTTGGCTCCCTAATATCTTCTCTATCAGAATGTCTTGGTCCTGGCTGGCAAATTTCCCAGTGGAGAAGGAAATATTTGTATCCAGCTTCCATAAAAGTAACTAGTTTAAAGTTCTGCTCATTGTATTGTATCTGCACAATATTTTATTTCTATAGCAAACAAAAACACTGTACCGTATGCATAAACACTGGACAAATCTGCACATATATTCACACATATAAATGAATTATGCACACACATGGATTGACATGTTACGTGTAAGCATAAGACTATCAAAATGCACACACATCTTCCATGCCATGCAAATAGGACAACACACACAGGAAGCTACAGAAAAATATAATATTAGGACGATCTTAAAATTACAGATGTTTATCTCTCAGACACACACAAGGGTTACAACTGTGTATATATATATATATATATATATATATATATATATATATATATATATATATATATATATATATATA